ATAAATTATATATACACATGTATGTACAGTACGTATGTATATATGTTTACAGTATATACATTAATAGATATGCAAAAATATATATGAGACATACTTATATACATATATTAATACATACACTCATATATATGCGTGTATTGTATATATAAACATTCATATACCATATATAATTACACACACACACACACACACACACACACACACACACACACACACACACACACACACATATATATATATATATATATATATATATATATGTAAGGCCTCCCCGAAACACAACCCTGGCGCAACAAAGGCTTGATGTCTGACTACCAAATCACACAGAGCAAACCTCGGGACTGAGTCACGTCTGTTGGCACTGGCTGATGAAAACGGCAGCCCTCTGACTGAGGCTTTAAAAAATAAACAAGATCTGTATTTTTAATTTAAACCTCAGTTCATTTTTCTAGTGTGATATATAGGTCTGGGAGGCAGGATTTTGAGTGAGGTGGTTTCCACGAACAGGCTTATCACACTTCTCAGAAAAGAAAAAAGAAAAAAGAAAAAAAAAACACACACACACACTCACAAATCTATACCTACCGACCCACCTCCAGTAGGAGTCTGTTACCTGAACCAAAGGTATTTTTTTTATTCGGCCATATATATATATATATATATATATATATATATATATATATATATATATGAGTATATTTATTTATTTATTTGTGTGTGTATGTTTCATGGTTTTATTTCTAAATGTTTAGCTAAGTGCTCAGCAGTTAGCATTGAACGTTATTGTCTATATATCTAACTTTCTTACAGGTATAACCAATGTATATACATATATATCCACACTATACCTGCACTTTAACGAAATGTATTGTAGGCGGGACCTATTAATATTTATTTGATGATTTAATTATTTCGTATTGAATGATATCTCCATAGCAGGAGCATCATTGATGAGTTTGACATTATTTGCTATAGCAGCAGAGAGGATATTTAAATGGGTCGCTATTTTTCTTTAATTCATTTATTCATTTATTTATTTTACTGAATGTGATGTGTTTGCCATCATTAATTTATGCAGATATTATTGTCATTTAAGGTTGGTTTATTCTTTATATCTTCAAGAAGTTCATTTATCGCTTCTTTGTGCTAAACCAGATAACTTGAAAATGGGAATGCAGGCAATGTATGTTTTTTTTTTTTCGTTCCAATATTTGTTATATGGTGGAATTAATTCGACAATAGTGTCCATAGCTTTAAGGTCTGTTACGTGAGTCGATTAAGACCATACGCATAACCTCCGATACGAGACTCTGATTCTGCCTCAGCCTCCGTCTTGCCGATGCCGTGGGTGTGGACGTAGGAGTGGGCGTGAAGGGGCATTCACGTATCCATACTGGTATCCGCAATCTCCTTAGTAATGTGGTTAAGCTTCGGGTTTGGATTCAAGTTCAGCTACAGCGTGTACGTGCGCATGGCCTCCAGCGACATACCCATAGGCCCGGTAAGGCTGGTCGTAGAATCCGTAATGAGGCTCAGCTTCTCTCTGCTCTACTGCCACTGCGGGAAGCGAAGAGGAACTAGAACTCGGAAAAAAAAGAAAGCACATACTTTTCTGGTCAAAACTGAATCAATAACGCCAAAGAAATGTAATGCCTTGATGGTGAAATCCCTGGAACTGAAATATCTTAACATCAGAATTATGATCACAAATTCCCAGTGATCATAGAACTAGTAAGTCGAGTGTTAACTATAATTCAATTAGCATATATATTACTTGAAGTTTCCGCAGTATAAGTTGCTATATATCCATAGACAAATGGAAGATAAGTCCAAGACCATAAGGATTGGAATGCTCATCTACGCTCACATAAACACGCACATATATGTATGCGTTAGAATGATAGTTTATATTGTCAGACGAAGCAATTTTAGACGAGACTAACAATAGCAATATCCCCAAAGTTCGTATGGATAAATCCCTTGTACAAAAAGCACATCATACATTATTAAGATAACTTCATAGAGCAAGAGCTACATTTGACCCATTTGGACGAAATCTTGGTCTGTATTCCATACAATTTGCATGACCACAACGCAAACTCATGTCAGGTCGAGGCAATGTCAATTATGCAGGTAGCGAGCTCGTTAATAGACCGCTCAGCTCTTGATTAGTATGTATATGTTTCGTAGTCTTGCTTATGCAGGTAATTTACGATGAATTTTTGAAAGAGGCGGGTCATTTACATCCCTTGCTTTGTGGAGGTTTTAATTTCCGATTCACACCTTCCCTGCTTGATGTATGATTCAAACAAATAATTTAATAAGCAAGGAATATGTAGATGTTATTTCGTCGTAAGGATAAATATAAATAGTTCCTTTTGTAAACTGCTTGTGCAAATCATGTCATACAAACTTACATATGTTTTTATGTATGGGACATTTGCATACAGTTCTATACTCATTTCAAAATACACTCGCCTGTATATTTATTTTAGATATGTTCTATTACAAAGCACTGTTCTTTGTTTTAGTCCTATCAACTGCGGTATACATAGGCACACACAAACACACACACACATGCATGTATGTAATATATATATATATATATATATATATATATATATATATATATATATATATATATATATATATATATATATATGTGTGTATAGATATGTGTGTGCGTCTTTGTGTGTATTGTGTGTGCAGGTGTTTTTATGTTAATTACATAAACATAAGAAAATTATACATTGTATAAAAGGAATTACTAATACAATTAATATATGTATAGAATCAAAGCCTGATTTTAGGCACGTGTCGGAACAGATATTATTCATATTTTATACTAATCCAGCCATGTCAGTATTAATTATTTCATAAAAAAAATTGAAGGTCTCTTCTGATTATGCAATATTCTGATCAGAACGATATAAGGGACTAAACATGCTCCGTGAATAATTCTGAATTAATTGCTATTTAAATTTTCCTTCCTCCATCCTTCGAGGTGAAGGCTTATGCGTGCCGCCATGTCCTGTAAACCTTTAGGAACATTATATATTTACAATCCTTGTTAAAGACATTTTAAATGGGGCATTAGCATCCTCTATATACACATTCTTTTCGACTGAAAGAACTACAGCAGGACCGCCATTAGTGAATATATATCAACAGCATGAAGCAATATTACCTTAAGCAAGAGTGTAGAGAGTGGAAGCATACTGCGACTAAAATGACAGCATAGATTATGGTTATAGACGTGACGACCCTGCAGGCCCCGTGCAAGGACGCTCTATAAGCCAATGTGAAATTAAGGGGGCCAACCCGGTGAATTTCTCAGAAATATCTTTTAAACTTGGCTTTTCCGTTTTCTTTTATCATCCTGTCCTTGATACCCTAAATTATCACGATTTATTATTTTTTTTAATAAAATTCCTATATACCCAGACGCCACTTTTAAATAACCTGGGGTGTTGCGTCATAGCGTGACGCGCGCGCTAAAAATGATCATTCAATTTTTGTAATTACGTAGAACTATCATTATATATATATATATATATATATATATATATATATATATATATATATATATAAATTTCTACAATTGGCATCCCTTCCCCGCAGAGCGTGGTGAGGATGTCAAATAATTTCACAAAACTGGAAAAAAATCTGATCGGCTTAAGTTGGGTATAATTTTAGAAAAAAATTATATATTTTTTTGTAGGAATTAGAATTAGAATTTGTCAAAGAAAACGGAATTCAAGAGCCCCAAAAAACTTTTTGAAAATTTTCCTTCGAAGCCAAAAAAAAAAAAATTCCTACAAAATGTAGATATATAAACAAAGATTTTAACATATGTTTTTTAAAAGCAATTCAGTGAAAATGAATTTTGTAAAATAATAATAAAACACTTTTTTAGTACCCGCTGGAGAGAGAGAAAAAAAAGGCACTGACGTTATTGAAATGAAACCTTATTGTAATTTTGTATTTTGTGTTTCCGTGTCTTTTCATATGCACGCGACCTCTATATATGGATATGCCTACACTTATTTATGTACATAAAGATATACATACATATATATGTATATATATATATATATATATATATATATATATATATATATATATATATATATATAATATATATATATATATATATATATATATATATATATATATATATATATATATATATATATATATATGTATATATATATGTATATATATATATATATATATATATATATATATATATATATGTATATATATATGTATATATATATATATATATATATATATATATATATATATATATATATATATATATATATATATATATATATATATATATATATATATATATATATATATATAGTATATATATATATATATATATATATCTGTAGACATTTATGCATATATACGTATATATATATATATATATATATATATATATATAATATATATATATATATATATATATATATATATATATATATATATATATATATATATATATATATATATATATATATATATATATATATATATATATATATATATATATATATATATATATGCTACGTATATATACTATATATATACTACATGTGTAGGTATGTTTAAGCATTCTGTATGTTCACATATGTGTGGGAGTCAATATGATATACATATTTTCTCTCATTCTCACACACTCAAATTCTCCTTGATATTTTGTAAATAAAATGGTCTATCCAAATTTTGCATTCAGTTTTGTATTCTTATTTTTTCAGCTGTTATTTTTGTATTAAAAGGCTTATTTCAGTAACGAGCTCATTGATCTTAGATTGCAAAATATATCAAACTTTTTATTTTCATTTTTTAATCTGTCAGTGATTCGGTTCTCCATGTGTCTCATTGTTAATATTACCATGGTGTTCATTGTTCATGGATTTGGAAATAAGAGCATAGTCAATGCATGCCTTTATTTTTCCTTTCAATATTGGGTATATGACGGGAACAATTTATCCATGGTATCCATAGCCATAAGGGTGGTAAGGGCTGTAGCCAAATGGGTGGTTGAGGCCAAAACCATAGGGTCGGTAAAGGCCATAGCCAAAGCCTCCGTAGTAAGGCTCTGGTTTGGCCTCAGCCTCCCTCTTGCCGATGGCATGAGGATAGCCGTAGCCTCCGAAGCCTCCATAGTAAGGGTGGCCGTAGTGTCCTCCATAGTAAGGGTGGCCGTAGTGTCCAGCTAATCCGTAATAAGGTTTAGCTTCCCTCTTCTGCATGCCTTGAGCCTCCCTCTTGCCGATGGCGTGATGGTAGCCGTAGCCTCCGAAGCCTCCATAGTAAGGGTGGCCGTAGTGTCCTCCATAGTAAGGGTGGCCGTAGTGTCCTCCATAGTAAGGGTGGCCGTAGTGTCCAGCTAATCCGTAATAAGGTTTAGCTTCCCTCTTCTGCTTTGCTGCCACGGCGACAGCCAACAGAATGATCACCTGGAAAAAAAGGCACTGACGTTATTGATATGATTTTATATCACCAATATGAAGAAAGTTTAAAAAGAGTATCTTTTTTTGTGTGATACATGCACTAAGGTACTTAATCTTTACAATACATCATAACGCTAAGTACACTATTAAATGTAATCACTCTTTAACTCTTTACTGCCCTAGCATTTGATAGAAAACACCCACAAAAACGATAGGCTGCGTGCAAAGTACTTTACCCATGATATCCATAGTCAAACAGGCACTAGAGATCAACGCCATGGCTTAGCACTGACTTAGCCTCTTTGGAAAGACTTTAACAAACAAGTGCATGCATATATATATATTATATATATATATATATATATATATATATATATATATATATATATATATGTGTGTGTGTGTGTGTGTGTGTGTGTGTGTGTGTGTGTGTGTGTGTGTGTGTGTATGTGTGTGTGTGTGTGTGTGTGTGTGTGTGTGTGTGTGTGTGTGTGTGTGTGTGTGTGTGTGTGTGTGTGTGTGTGTGTGTGTGTGTGTCGGCAAAGTCACTATGCAGGCAACGAGAGTTTGGTGACCGATTTACTCAATACTTGACTAATAATCCTGGTAATCTATACTGAAATAAAGAATAAAGAAGATAAACGTGCCAATTATACCTATTGTATAGTAATACTACACATTCTCATTTCAAGTTTTAAAAAGCAAATGTATGCATAATGATTATAAAGGTGAACATTTCATTGTGTGGACTGCATGTGCTTATCATACACACCCACCCACCCACAAGCACTCGTGAATGTGGGTGTGCATATAGGCCCTCGCACATTTTAAGGCATGAACACTTACCTGCACATTCATTGGCACAATAATGAATGTCATTATGATTCCACTGCTAAGTAATATTTTATTTTTTAGTCTGCCCCCGTTAGCTCCCGTCAACTGCAATCCTTATCTCTATATATTTCCAGGAAATGGTTATTATATTCTTTTTTTAAGATGTTCAAACTCACGCCGCTCGTTCTCCAACAATCCTTTGTGCGCAGTTTGGTATCACATGCCTTAATATCTAATGAAATAGTGATAAAATCACGAACAGCAAGCCAGAAGCTCTCTGCTTACCAGGAACTTCATGGCGGAGGCTTCAGGGTGTGGAGTGGCGAAGGAAGGATGGACACGACTTATATACCATCTGACTCCGCCCACAACACCTGTGTCCTCGCCTCCGTTTGTCTGGAGCGACAAGCAGGCGAGGTGTAAAAGCACTGATGATCCTAATGACGGAGGTCATAATGCCTCATTTATTCTTCAGAGCTTAGGCATTGTAGTACACGTGGTAAGGTCATCCAGAATGCGCGAATATCATTCTAACAAACGAACGGTAATGTATGGCACGTATACGTATATACATGCATGCATGCATACATACATGCACAGGAACGCACCCACACAAATATGTATAGAAATATATATGTATATATGTATATGTATATACTTATATGTAAGTATACACCTATACACATGTATGTACGTATAAGCAAACACATACATACACACATATATGGATATACATATACACATTTACATAAATATCTATAAACATTTATGAATAAAACACACATACACACAATAAGCATACACACACACGCACATGTGCTTAAGTTTGTATGTATACGCTTTATAGAAATTTCCATACGTACATATACATACATATTTGTGAGTAGTTTTGTATCCATGTGTGCACATATAGATATGCAAAGAAAAACATAATACCGTGTTGATAATATGGAAGAAAAACCCACAATGCACAAACTAGATTTATTGATGAAAGTGAGACAACAGTTTCGGAATAGTCCTCGATTCCATCTTCGGGTATATATATATATATATATATATATATATATATATATATATATATATATATATATATATATATATATATCGCATACTTATAACACACACACACATAGGTATAGTTATCATATGTATATATGTGTATGTATATCTGTGTTTATATATCATATTTATGTATATG